AGGGATGGAGGAGCAGGACTTTTTCATATTCCACACTTCTGAAAGGTATGAGTGCTTGTGAGAATGTTCAGATCCCTTGTGAATTTTGAAGAGCTTTGATCATTATACAGATCTGGATGAACTTGGGATATATTGCAAAGGTTCGTCTTTATACTACTGCTTTGGCTAAGCAAATATATTTAACCTCTACTGGTCTTTTTAGAATGCCTCATGGCTAAAGGCCTGGGATCATAGAATCAGAGAATATACTGAGTTGGAAGAGCCCACAAGATAATATCAAGTCCAACTCATGGTTCCATTCAGGATCACACAAAAATCAAACCAAACATCTCTGTTGTCCAAACATAGCACTCTTGCCGCTGTGACCACTTCCCTGGAGAGCCAGTGCCTGAAAACCCTTTAGTGAAGAACCATTTCCTAATATCCAGCCTGAATCTCCCCTGTTCAGATTTACATTGTTCTCTCAGATCCTATTGCTGGTCACAAGAGAAAAGAGGTCAGAAACCCCATGATAATTTGCCCTCATGAGGAAGCTGTAGACTGCAATGAAGTCATGTCTCAGCTTTCTCATCAAAGCTGAATAAGCCAAGTGACCTCAATCACTCCTCATACATCATCTCCTGTAGACTTTTCACTATCTTGCCCAAAATTGCACACAGTATTTGAGGTGAGGTTGCATCAGCACAGAGTAGAGTGATCCTAGGAGCTCTGCCTGAGTAGCAGGAAGATGTTTTTGTTCCACCTTTTAGATTGAGGTTTGGAAATTTCTTGAAGTTGACAGGTAGAAGAGATGGAAGATGGAAACTTGCAGACTTTACTTCCTCTTTTTGGAAGATGGCTTGGCACCCTCTGGAGGCAAAATTGGAATGTGGCTCTTCTGCTCAACACCTGTGGGACTGGCAAACTTTGATGAGTCATGGGCAGACAGACCTAGATGATCCCAGTCTGAATTTTTTTTTTTCTCTGTTTTAACTTTAATTTTCTCTTTGAACTGTATGAGTTTCAATAGATCCAAGAATCGGGTCGTGCATTTTGGTCACAACAACCCTAGGCGACCCTACAGGCCTGGGGGAGAGTGGATGGAAAGCTGCCTGTTGGAAAGGGACTTTGGTGTACTGATGCACAGTCAGCTGAATATGAGCCAACAGTATGCCCAGATGGCCAAGAAGGCCAATGGCATGCTGGCTTGTATCAGGAATGGTGTGGTGACCAGTACCAGAGAAGAAATCCTGCCCCTGTACTCAGTATTGTTGAGACCTCGCCTCAAGTACTGTGTTCAGTTTTGGTCAACTCAGTATAGAAGGGACATTGAGGTGCTGGAGCAGGTCCAAAGAAGGGCAACAAGGCTTGTGAAGGGCTTGGAGAATATGGCCTACGAGGAGAGACTGAAGGAACTGGGGCTGTTTAGTCTGGGGAAAAGGAGGCTAAGGGGAGACCTTACTGCTCTCTTCAAATACCTGAAAGGTGCTTACAGCAAGAGTAGGCTTGGTCTCTTGTCACTGGTAACAGGTGACAGGATGAGGGGAAATGGCCTCAAGTTGCACCAGGGGAGGTTTCGTTTGAATATCAGGAAAAACTTCTTTACAAAAAGGGTTAAGCACTGGAATAGGCTCCCCAGGGAGGTGGTTGAGTCACCATTCCTGGATGTGTTTAAAAACCATTTGGATGTGATGCTTAGGGACATGATTTAGCAGAGGGTGGTTAGGGTTGTTTGATTAGGTCATGGTTGGACTTGATGATCTTTAAGGTCTTTTCCAACCTGAATGATTCTATGATTCTATGATTTTCAGATCAATGTCTGAAACAGCCTTAGCTGAGAAGCAAGTATTGTATCAGTATAAAGAAGGTTGGGCAGATTTTTGGAGAATATTGCCTCTTAGTTTTGACCTTTGCCACGCAACATCAAGCTCCCATTGCATCTAGAAGTCTAGAAATCCCTGAATCCATTCTTTTCCAAATTCCCTAGCTGTCTACATTCTTGAAGAAGCACACAATTTCTTGGAAGCAATAAATAAATAATACACTTGGTGCCTTATAGCTGTAATGCAAAGTCTTGGATGGAGATCTTTGAGTGTCTGGTTTAGAAGATGAGGGAACACTAGATAATAATTGCTGATGTGTTTTCACAGAGGAGCTAAGCTGCAATGAGACATCTGCTAAACTGAGCATTAGTCAGGAGTATAAATACTCAGTTCATCAGAGGCATCAGAGACCTGTTATCAGCTTGATGTGGGCTGGCTTATAGCTTTTGAGGAACAAGGATATTGCTAGGGAAACTTCCCTTAGTTAATCAATAAGTACCTCATGGTTTAGGATTTAACATCTATCTTCCAAGCAGTGTCCGTGAAATACATCTCTCTTTCAAAGCCCAGTCACCTCTTCTCAAGCATACAAGGCTTTCTCTCAAATTCTGTCCTGGATATTTTCCTCCTCACTTCCCTCCCTTTTCCCTTCTCACTGGAAAGGTAAAAGAACTAATCTTCCTGCATTTTTCCTCTGTTATGAAAACCAGAATGGGAGGATCCCATGACTCTCCCTTCCCAGCTTAGGAGGTCATGTGGAAAGCAAGCATAAGCCAGCTTAGCAGTGAGATCTAAGGATAGGACTTCTTTGCCTGGCCAAAGTTTACCTCACCTCATCTGATGTGCATAGCAATTGCATAGCTTCAAGTTGTGATGGCACACAAAACACCACCACACTGTTCTCTCACTCTCCCTTCCAACTCCCCCCTTATTGAGATAAAGACATTTTAATTAAATGAAAATAAAAACAAGCAAGCAGAACAAAACAGAATAAGTAAAAGAAGAAAATAAAGGCTGAATCAGCTGTGGTTGTTCAGTCTGGAGAAGTTTCCAGAAAGATGTCACTGCAACTTTCCAGCACTTCAAGAGAGCTTATAAATAGGAAAGATATTGATTTCTTTCATGGTCTGAAAGTAATGAGACAACAGAGAATGTTTTTTGAGTAGAAGAGGGAAGATTTAGATTCTATATCAGGAGGAAATTCTTTAGTCAGAGGGTGATGAGACACTGGAATAGGTTGCTCAGAGAAGATGTGAATGACCCATCCCTGGAGATGTTCAATACCAAGTTAGTTGGTGTCCCGAGAAACGTGTTCTAGTGGTTAGCAACTGTGCCCACAGCAGGCAGATTAGAACTACATGATCTTCAAGGTTCCTTGCAACTCAAATGGTATGATTCTATGTGAGGAAAGTATCTACGAGTTATGTACTGTCAGTGGACTTCAGTCCCAGTTTTGCTGCCTCTCTGTCCTGATATTCCTTTTGGACATCAGTGCACAGCAGAAGGTGGCCACTGCTGGCCCTGACTGAGGAGCCAGAGCTTCCCTGGGAGGGCAGCAGGCACACAAGATCACAGAAGGGGACAAAGTGGAGAGGGAGAATGGGGAAAACATAGGTGAGAATTTCTCCTCCTGGGCTGGGAGGCCCACGTAGAAAATGGAGGGAGAGTGGGTGAGCTGGGTCTTGCTTCAGTTTGCCTCACATGGAGGGTGGGGAGTGAGGAAGGAACTGATGGTTACCAAGGTCCTTCAGTGGTCAACACACCACACAAATTCAGGCAGTATATGTTCCTTCCATTCTCCTTCTGTTTCTGTCCAAGTTTCCTGAGGAAAAGAATGTGGGCAGAAAACGGCAGGGAGAGACTGAGGGCAGGAGGAGATGCATCACGTGCTCTACAGTCACCAGCAGCAAAGGCTGGAGAGGGGCTTGCAGATGAGGGCACAGCTAGGCATGGTGAAGGAGATCCACAGAACCCTGATTAGCAGCAGGATTGCAGCTACCCATGTTCACATAAAGATAGGTTTTTTGTTTTTTTTTTTTTAAAAAAAAAAGGAAAGATAAACAAAAAGAAAAAACAGTGATGTCAAATCAGTGTTTCCGTACCACCTGCCAGAAGGAAGACCAATGCTCAGTCAGCCTCTAAAGAACAGTTACTTGGGAATGACTGCTCCCTGTTTTATAGACAAATATGATGTGATGTGGCACACAATATCCCCATGTTCAATTTGGGTCAGCCATCCACACTGTATGACCTTTTAGTCTCCTTCTGACTCCTAGTCAGCTCTGTGCGGGTGCAGAATGGGAAACAAAAGGCCTTGATGCTGTGCTAAAACCTTGTTGTGCTACCTCTGCTGTTTAACTACACCTTTACAACACAACATCATATAGGCTGTGGTGAAGAAAAATGTCTCCGTCTTAGCCAGTCCCAATACAGTCCGGTTCCCAAACTCCCTCTACTGACCTGCTCTGGGACCATTTTCTGCCCAGTACCACTGTGTCAAGAGCAGAAGGAATTGCTGCTCCTGCTCTGCCCTCTCTCCCGCTGTCCCCTTCAACAAGCTTGTGGAGCTCATGTCCTCCTGGGACCTCCCGCAGCTCTGGCTCTGCAGTCAAAACCAAGAGAGAACATCTTCTACATGGTGTACATCAAGGCCAAGGGGGCACATCAGGACAGAGAAGCAAAAGGGTAGGTCTGAAGGCCAGGGATACTGCAGGACTCATGGACACCCCCCTCATGCATGAGTGACAGTGATTTCCTAAAAGAGCCAAAAGCGGTGTTGCAACCTTTAGGAAAGGTGTAGCGTTCCAATGTGCAGAGACACCTATTGAAATCCATAGTGCAAGGCATTTCCTCCTGGCACTTGTTGTCTGGAGTGTCCCCTGGGGAAGGACAACGCAGAGCCACAAGCTGGAATGCAATAAAACTTTAATGTAGGAAAAGAAGGAAACGAGGTCAGTCTGAGGGAGGTCGTGGTGCAGGAAGCAGCAGGGACAGATGACAGTCTGCACTGTGTGGCATGCTGAACATGCTGACTGCTGTACATCTACCTGTTCCACACAGACAGAAGGACCACCAGGTCCTTTTTGAAACAGATGCACACACTACTCAGCCCTTTTTTACAAGATCCCAATGCTCGGTTCCCAGGATGTTATCACCTCAGTCTCTGGGAATCTTCCTCCAGGGCCATGGCCAGCAGATTTAGCAGGGGAAGTACCGCCTGCCACAAGAGCCGCTGCCAAAGCCGGAGAAGCCAAAGCCTCCAGAGGAGATGGGCACACCCTCAGAGCTGAGGATGCTGCCAACGGCAGTGGAGGTGGAGGACCCCACGGCGGTGTTCTGCGGGAAGGAGCTGAGGATGGGTCCGGGCAGGGTCACCACCACGGGAGAGGGCTGGATGAAGACGTGGGAGTCCTGGCACTGCCTGACGCAGGGCTCGTTGCAGCTGCTGCCCAGAGGGGTGGGGCCACAGGGCCGACACTGCAGGCGTGACATGCACTGGTCGTAGCAGGACATGTCTTGTGTCTGGAGGGGCACCTGTTGGGAGAGGAGTCTGGGGGATGAATGGGGCTGAATGAGGAGCAGTCTGCCAGCCCTCAGTGAGAGGGTTAAGGCACGTGTTACCTGTGGAGATGGAGGCCATGTAAGGATGCCAGCAAGCCTTCTCCTACACTTTGGTCCTCATGAGCCTGGCCAATATCTGTCACTTTCAGTTAGGTCTCCTTTAGACCATAGGTCAGGAGACACCCCAGCTAAGATCCAGCATCTCTCTGTTACACACCTGCTGCCCCACTCCTTCTCCTGTATTTAGCTGTCACCCTAATACCCAAAGTAAGATCAAGGCACAAGCACGTGCTGAGAAATCCCCAAGGGTGGTGGTGAGTAGAATGAGGAGGAGCGTGGCCTTCAGATTCACCTTGTTCCCAGATCAGTGGAGGCAAGAGGAGCGGATGTGAGAGGGAGAAGAAAGGCCTGCTTTTATACTGTTCTGATACTGGCCTAAAGTCACTTCACGTGGGTAGTAATTTGCCAACAGACTCATCTCAAATGCAAATTAGCCTTCCTAATGGCATAATCTTTGCTTCATTTCATTTCCTCATTTCTGACCTACTCATTTGCACACAGAGTCTTTTCAAGTTCTAGGATGAAAAGTGCATGGATTTATTAGGCAGCAACACAACAGTCCTGTCAGATATCATACCCCAAACCCTTAGATGGATCCCAAGCAAGTGTTAGATGTCTGTGGATGTATCTTGTTCTTTTTTGCAACTTTGTTGCAAAAGTGCACATATCCTCTAGTCTGTTTGGGGTATTCAAGGGCTCCTTTTCTGTGGATGCATTCTGCCTTCTCCCTCCCTGCCTACCTTCATACCTGTTCCATCAGTCATTGTTCTTTCCCTTCATTGGCAGCTGGACTGTACTGCTGCTTGCAAATGCCCTCCCCAAAATTTTCTCCTTCTGGCTAGATATTTGGTTGTTTTTTTTTTTCCACCTTTTTTAACTCCTGGTGCAGTCTCTGCTAGTTACTCCAGTTTTCAGGCACATCTCCCAGCTCCTGCAGTAGAATAAAGCTTATTAATAGTTCTCTTGCAATCACATTTGCCAGTTCCCTCAGCACTTACTGATGCATCCCATCACAATCCATGGACTCAAAAATGTCCATTTTGCTCAAATATTCCATGACCTAATCCTCTTCCACTAAAGGTACATCTTGCTACGTCCAGCCATTCAGCCTGGCCTCTGGGCCCTGGGATTCCTGAAGGTCAGTCTTGCTGGATAAGAAAGAGACAAAGAGGACATTCAGTAATTAGCCTTTTTTACTGTTGCAAGTAACCAGGTCTGCTGTTTCATTCAAGAGAGCATCCATATATTCTCTAGTTTTTCTTTTGCCACTGAATTACTTGTAGAAGCCCTCCTAGTTGCCCTTGATGTCCTTTCTCAGGTTGAAGTCTATCAGGCTTTTCGCTTTCCTTACTTGAACCCTATCTGCCTGGACATTGTGGCTGTACTCCTCCCACTTTACCTGACACTACTTCCATCCTTCAGAATCCTCATACTTTTGTGTTTGAGTTTGGTTGACAGTTGTAAGACTGTGAGGCAGTCCAGGACTGGCTTCCTCTTCCTAAATCCATGCTGTCCACTCACTATCATCTGTTTGTACACTCTTTGCTTTTCATGACTTTGAAAGTCAGTTGAGAGCAGCCTTGCAGTGGTATCTGCCAATCCCTTGTGTGCGTGCTATTAGGTGTAATGGATTCATTTGACTGTTGATTCGATTATCCTCTACTGAAAGGAAGTCTCAAACTTTGCCAGGATCAAATCTTTACATTAAAACCATGGCCAAGAACCTTTTGAGCACCTCCACTTCCTTCTCATGCCCTGTCCCCAAGTAAGGTGCCCCTTCAGTACTGCAGCTCCCTTTGCCTTAGCCTTGATTTTATTACTTATCTGCCAAGAAGGTCTTCTTGATGCTTTCCTTGTCTTTTGCCTGGTTCAACTCCAGGAGGGCACTGGCTTTCCTAACATCAAGACTGCATTCTCAGACAGACTGGCAAGCTTTCTCCCTAGAGCTAACAAGACCAAAAGGAGGACATCCATTCGGACAGCCTGGATGCCAGTGAAGGCAATGGCCAGTGAATGTCAGAGTGAGCCAAGAGAGAGGCAGAAGAAAGATTCATGTGGCATGTCTGTGGGAATAAAGTACAATGTTTTTTTCTGGTTCAGACTGTGACAACACTATACAAAATGTAACATTGTGAATTCTTGCTGATTGGTTAAGAGATGGACTTGCATCTAACTGTTGTCTAGAGACAAAACTAACAATCTTATGAAGGCCTCAGAATGAAAACTATACTGTAACACTCTTGTGAGAGGAAACTGAGTTAGTAATCTTGCTTAAGGTGGTCTTGGGTCATTGTTGTCCACACATACAACCAAGGCCCTCCACAACCACCATGCAAAGGGAGAAGCACTGTGGTACAGCATGTGCACGGCACATGATTCTGGATACTCTCTGCCTGGCAATAACTTCTGGCCAATTGTAAGGGATCTTCATATGACATCAAAAGCATTCCCAACCCCACTGCCTGTGGTGCTAATCCTACCAAATCCTCAACCACCCCAGAAGAACAAGGAGGAGGATAGATTCTGAGGACATCAAGGGATCTGCAGTAATGACTTGCTTTTCTTTCCATTTTTTCTCTATCTCCTCTCTTCTTTAGTTTTTCCTCTCTTTCTCTCCAATTTTTTTAATAAATAAAAGCACAGCCTTGGTCAGCCAACACCTCGATAGTTCTAAGTCTTAATTCAGAGAGATGGAGATCAATATAATGAACCACAAGCCTCTTTGGCTTGCCACACAAGTCCTTAGGGAACAGAAGCTTGAAGTGTTCTTTTGAGTACAGTAACACTTAAAAATGATGGACATCATCAGTGATGAACATTGTTAACCATTCCCCCATGGTACCACAAGCCATGCCCTGTCCCAGAGTGAATGTGACCATTCCAACACATGGAGCTCCTTTTCTGCTTATGCTAACATGACTCTACTTACTTAATTGTTGAGTCTCTCAACACTTGAAAAAAATTCTACATGACAATATAGGCATGTCAGAAATGAGGAAATGTAATTGCAGTGTTGACAGCAAGCAAAACAAAACCTGTGAGATTAGGAAGGCTAATTTGCATTTGAGATGAGTCTGTTGGCAAATTACTACCCACGTGAAGTGACTTTAGGCCAGTATCAGAACAGTATAAAAGCAGGCCTTTCTTCTCCCTCTCACATCCGCTCCTCTTGCCTCCACTGATCTGGGAACAAGGTGAATCTGAAGGCCACGCTCCTCCTCATTCTACTCACCACCACCCTTGGGGATTTCTCAGCACGTGCTTGTGCCTTGATCTTACTTTGGGTATTAGGGTGACAGCTAAATACAGGAGAAGGAGTGGGGCAGCAGGTGTGTAACAGAGAGATGCTGGATCTTAGCTGGGGTGTCTCCTGACCTATGGTCTAAAGGAGACCTAACTGAAAGTGACAGATATTGGCCAGGCTCATGAGGACCAAAGTGTAGGAGAAGGCTTGCTGGCATCCTTACATGGCCTCCATCTCCACAGGTAACACGTGCCTTAACTCTCTCACTGAGGGCTGGCAGACTGCTCCTCATTCAGCCCCATTCGTCCCCCAGACTCCTCTCCCAACAGGTGCCCCTCCAGACACAAGACATGTCCTGCTACGACCAGTGCATGCCACGCCTGCAGTGTCGGCCCTGTGGCCCCACCCCTCTGGGCAGCACCTGCAACGAGCACCTGTAAAATCCTTTGCTTTTACTTTTATCTCCCCTACTGGTTGTGAGTGAGCATGCAACTTGTGGGTGCTTATGTGTGGTTTTTTTAGTCAAAACAGCACTGAGCAGTGCGGGCAATTCATGTCTTGCTGCTTACATCTCTGTCCTAGGCATCCTAATAAAAACTGGCAGAGGAGGTCAGGAAGAGAATACAGGCAGAAGGAGATACAGGGAAGCATTCTGAATGCATCAAACGGGCACCCACGTGGTCTACCAAATAGTTCAAATACCAGCAACAAAGGTTTCAGAGAGTTTTGCATCTATGGATTTGGAACTACTGAATTGCTCTAGAACACTCCTGTGCACCATAACACCCAGAGTTCTTACTGGCAGTTGTCCTGCTGTACCCCAGCCTTCATGTCACTTTGTGAAGCATTGGAACAGGCTGAAGTTATTTGAAAGATGTGTAGATGTGGTGCTTCTGGTCATGATGTAGTGGTAGATTTGGCAATGCTAGGTTAATACTAGGTTAGTCCTGGTCATCTTACAGGTCTTTTCCAGCCTCAGTGATTCAATAATTCTACATATTTCAAGCCCTGTATAGCAGCAGATCAAGGGAAAGGCCAGAAAGAACTGCTTTTGTGGCAATTCACCAAAAAAGATGTGATTCCCAACAGTTTCTCCAGACCCAGCAATGTCAACAGAATCCTGGGCTACATGACCTCATGCATAACCATGAACTTGAGGAAACTGATAAGCCCAGTATACTCAGCTCTTATCTGACAACATCTTGAATACTAAGCCCTGCTTGGGGTTGTGCTGAAAGAAAGACATTCACCAGGCAGAGCAAGTTCTATTCAGCTTAGGCAGAGTAATCAAGGGCCTCAAGCACTTAACCAGTGAGAAGTGGCTGTGAGCTTGCTCTGCATGGGAAAGAGCAAGACTTTGATGGGATATCTAAGAGAACATTTGGAGTAGATGCAGTGAGAACCTCCAAAGACAGAGCAAGGCTTGGTGCTGTGACAGTACTGGAAGACAAGAGACAGTGGACTTAAGGTTTGCACTGAATAGGAGGAAAAGGGACAAGAACTGTCAAGCAGTGGTATGCTTGGAGCAAGCGGTTGGACATATTGACTTACAGAAGTTCTTTCTACCCTGATTTGTGCTATGACATTATGGCCATAGGACTTTCTTTGTGTGACTGCCAACTGGGAACAGGACAAGACAAATGGCTCAGC